TCCCGCTGCTTTCAATAGGCTTTGAACCAGTGCTTCAGCGTGTGATTACTGTGAAGCCTGGCTCTGATGAATGCAGTGCTATCATCTCCGCTCAGCAGAGCTTTTGTACATGAGCTTAGCTTTATCCTGAAGCTAAGGGCTTTTGGGTTAAACTTTCTCTGGAAGTTGGCAGAAGTGTTTTTCTAGATCAGTGCCTTAAACACTTGCTCAACATTAATTTGTAAGCAGCCCCAATGATTTCAAGTAAACTTGTTATGTACACATGCTAGGCTGGATCTGGAGAGAGTCTATGCTTCAGCCTTCGCTCTCCAGCAGTCCCTTTTCCCACCCTGGTGTATATACACAAACCTTTCATAGCTGAAGGATACTTTCTCTTCCCCTCCCCCTAAATATTTTTTTTTCATGTTTTTCAAGTGCCTGCAAAGTGGTTGAGATTCCCTCAAGAATGTAGTATATTTCAGTGGGTTTTTTTTTTTTCACAATAAACTCATATATTTGTCAGATTTAAAAATTCAGTATTATTCTGTCTGACTGCTTCTTCCTTCTTAGCTGGCACAAGGCACTGCCCAGCCAGACGTGTGGAGAAGGAGAGGATTCAGTGCTCCCTGGCAAATCCAACCCTCAGAGGGACTCGGAGACACATGCTGTGGGACACCTCTGACCACCTTCTCTCCAGCTTCGCTGGGAAGGCCTGGAGAAGCAGATACTGGGTTTGGACAGATACTCACCCTGGCCAAATGGACTGTCTCGGGGCCCAAAAGTGATGACAGTTGTGCAAGCTTAACTAGGGGGTCTGTGTGGCACGCTGCACTCAGGCGGCAGCTGTGCATTAGCCCTGTGCTTTCCTGCACAGAGGAGCAGCAGGTAATGCTGGGATGGTTTGCATCTCTCCATGGCAATGGAGAAACAGCACAACAGAAACATGACCTGAAAGACTACAGTGGGAAATGAAAAGGGCCTGGAAAATCTTTGCTTTCTTAGGAGGGGAAAAATAAAAACAGTAAGGATGTAAAAGAAGGGAGAGAGATGAGGGTGAGGCAGGAGCCTTCCTGTTAACCAACCGCCTGGACAGTTAGTGTTTCACTGGGGATCAAAGCAGTCACTAGTTACTGCTTCCAACATTTTAAGCTCTGGGAGGACATTCATTAATAAGTAAGTGAAACACTCATAACTAGATTCTTTTGAGTGCAAACTGTCCATAAAGTATACATCCCTGTTTGACATGCTTGCATTACAAAGGCACTGATGTTGCTACTTGCTTTGGGGTTAAGTCATTTGTCTCTGATCTCCTGTTAATCTGTTTTAAAGCCAGGTTGGAAAATAATTTGAAGTTGTTAAGTTTAAAGTGATGCTGCTGCACACCACTTCATTTTAGACTCTCAGTATGATTCAGCTAACACTGGCTTTTCAAGTGTCCTGGTAGACTGTAATCAGTTTGGCAATAGGGCTCCTGACAAGACGGAAAACTCCCTGTGAGCGAATGCTAAAAACATGCCATTCATTTGAAAGTGAGAAGGGACCCTGTGAGGCTATCTAGGTGGATCCTGCAGACTAAACAAGACAGGTTGCATTTGAAAGCAGTATGAAGGAGAAAAGAGGATTATCGGCATTTAGACGCACATCCAAAAATAGATTTAGGTGCATCAGGTTTGATCAGTGCAATATCTGAACTTTTCAGTGCTGGTCTGTCACTATATAAATGGAGAACTAGAGATGTAGGTTCCTTATAAAATGAACAGAATGAGTTAGATGCCTCAGAAGGAGATGCACAAGCAGCCAGCTCATTAAATTTGAAGCTGGGGAGACAGAGACAAGCTAGCTATCAAGGTACCGCTGAGGACGGAGATGCGCGTTGCCCAGACAATAGTCTGGGACTTAGTGCATTCACTCAGTGTGTCAGGGACCCTCATGCAATACTTTCTTCAGCTCAGGGGCGGCTGCAAACTGCCACTCCAAGTGGCAAGTGTCGTTTCTGTCAGATGACAGGCCATTTCTGCAAGACAAAGGCACTCTGTACCCTTTTGAGTAAACCTGTTTCATTTTGCCCTAAGACACTCACAGGCTATTTATGGGGCCATGTGGAAAAGAGGGTATCTGACAACATGGTCTTGTGATATAATTTGTTTGAGAAAGGGGACTCCCAATGTATCTTTAGTCTAAAATATGTCCTAGGAACAGACTATAACGCTCCGGTCTCCTTTCAGAATCCCCCCCCGTTTCCACTGAAGTTACGAGGACCTTACGGTGGCTAGTAGTCTGCATTTTACAAGGTCAGGCTCTGCAAAAATAAACAACCCACTCAATTAAAATTGACTTACAGAGAAAGGAGAGGTTGCCGCAGACCTTGGCTTCCTGTTTTAGACAGACGGACTATCAGAGTGAGGTGGTTGCAGCACTTGAGCATGGTGACCACATGAAGCTGTGGCATTGCTCAGCTGAGTAATCGTTGCACTGTTCCTCAGTAGTCCTGCCATGGGTGCACCTACCTCCTTGTATTCTCCCAAGTGAGGGAGGCTGTTTTTGAAGGCCTGCACTTTTCTCTGAGACCTTGAGGAAGGATAGCTGTAGGTGATGGAAATGTGTTGTACGGGGTGGGAAATGTTTCTGCCCCTTTTAAAAACTTTAATTCCTTGGAGCCAGAAAATGTAACTGATTAAGTGAGGAGAAAGCTAAAAGGCCCGTCCAAGCTGTGCGGGAGAGGAAAACAACAACCGCTGTGCTCGACCTCCACAGGAGTTCAGGTTTCCATGTTGGCATGGCCATAATTTCCTTCCATGACTTCAAACTGGTCACTAGCAAGTATATTAAAGATAGCACAACCTTATGCTATGGCTATGGGGAGTCACTGAGAGACTCCGGAAACAGTTAATGTCAAGGTTTGTTCACTTGCAGATAAAAGTAGCACAGAAGACACCCTTCCTTCCTACCGAAGAAGGCAAAGTAGGAGCCAGATATCTGGAGCAACTCAGCAGTGGTTTGCCTTACCTGAGTAGTCTTTAGGTAACGAAGCACAGTATCCCCATTGCCTGTCACGGTCATAGTTGTGTGTTGTTGAACACCTAAAAAGAATCAAAGATGCAGTTTAGCGCAGCTTTAAACAACCTGAATGTCGCACTAATTGAAGCAGGAGCATCCTTCATAAGCACTGAGCACGAAGGGCGAGCACGAGACGTTCTCCCCTCGCCCCCGCTCTTGGTGGAGGAATCTGTGAGCAGCCTTGTGGGAATTCTTACTTTAAATAAAGATTCTGCCAAGAGGAAGATGCTCATGAGGGTTTCCAGGCTGAGGGCCATTGCAAACCACTGTGCCCCTAAAAGCATTACTTCATTATATGCAAGGGCCTTCTTTTTATTACTAGTCTAGAAATGCCAAATATACATTTTTGCACTGAAGCTATGTGGTCTTCACTCTTTTCAGCTGATCCCCTCGAAATTCAGACTTTTTTCCCTAATTAAAATCTGTTTAATTCAAGCTCTCTATAAAAAAACACCTGAGAAAAAATAAGATTTTTTTGTTCAAGATGCTCTGCGCCACTTCTCTCTAAAGATAAATTAAGAATGAGATGTAGAAGCAGAACCTGAGATCTCCAGTGAATCCTCCAGAAAAACTTGACTTACTTTCTCTTTCTAAAATTAAAAAAAGAAAGAATAAAAGCCAAAATCAGAGCAAGTAAATTACATCTCCTTTATTCATTACAAAACAATCAGAACAGGACCCAATCGATTTCTGATCCCTGTCTGTTACCTTTAACACTCTGCAGAGGCAGAAGACTTTGTCCACAGAGGGACTTTTCCTGGCTTTCAGTGGCAAACATATTTTGCAACCAGTTCCTTTAAAGTATTTCTACTTTTTAGCTGGCCTGACAAAATGAGGAAATGACTGACAAGGAGGTGATTTCCAAATGCACAGATATAAGCTCCCCTTTTTTCAGAGCAGTGGGCTGCATCCTGCACACGGCACTGCCTATGGGAATCCTGCTGAGGCCCCAGAGAGACAAACTTTGACAACTGGTTTATCTGAGCACTTTTATTGCCCTCATCAGGCTGCTGTCTTCAAGACTCATAGTACTTGTCGGGCGTAGCAAGAGTACATCCTCGCTCTGCAGAGGAGGTAGACTTAGAGGCTTCCTGAAGGCCACCCAAGGAGTGTGTGACTGAACTGAGGCTGAACCCAGGAGGTCCACATCCCATCCCAATGCTCTCTCCACCAAAACAACCTCCCTGACCAGTTCTAATGCAGCATAATAAATATCAGCTGCACCAGCTGTCACTGCACAGGGGAACGTATAGCTACAGGGTGCTACAAGAAATAGGAGGGTGCTTTATTTGAAGTGCCGGCTAATTTATCTTTACTCTGCTCAGTTTTATCATACATTGAGCAGTTGTGTTATCAAGTATCTTTTCACCGCAGGACTTCACAAGCTAGACTGCAGTTTTATTGTAGAGCACATTACTATTTTAACTGCCCTATCTTGCTTCTTAATTAGATGCTATGTGACATTTAAAATGCTTTAGTTCCCACAGAACTTCTGAGCAGGCCATGCATATTAAGCTTGGTGGCCTCAATTAAATAAGGGGCATAAAAGGAAAGGTGCTCAATAGCCTAATACAGATTAATGCACCACATTCTTAAAGATGCTGTTTTCTCACAGACATTAAGGCCCATGCAGCTCTGCTGGGAGTTAATGGAAATTTCTCCATGCCCTTTTGGTGGGGAGCGGCTCATGCTCTTTCAGGACGGTCTGTTCCACGTTAGCATTAAATTGAGTAGCAAGCTAAAAGTTATTCTCAGCGGTGTACTTCTTGTGTCATTGTTGGCAAAATGGCCTCAGACTTTAACTCTTCATTTGTACCACCAATGGCGAGGAAGGAGAATCCAGAGTTTTATAACTAACACGATCATTGACTTAGCAAAGCAACATTACATTGAGCAGCATGGGAGAGCGGAACGGAAAAAGGCCCTGTATAGTTACACCCAAATGGAGAAATACTTGGATATTTGTCACAAAGAATTTAAGCATATTCTGATCATTAGGGGAAAAAACAATTTACACCAAAAGTAGTAGTCTTTGGATTCTATCCAGCAACAGCTAAATTCTGAGCAAATGGAGAACCACATTTTTTTCCATCCTAAACGTTTCTTGTCATTAGAGGCCCTGACACTGTTCTTCCACTGGCTTCCCGCAGTCCACTGGCCCTCACACTCGAAGCTCTTCACAACTGACCCCCTCATTCCCTATCATCTTGCAGTGGCTACAAAGACATTGATCCTCTCCTCTGATGCCAGTCTGCCCCCTCAATGCCTGACATTTTGCATATTCATATAAACCTCCTTTATTTCCTGCCATGTTTCACTTACTGTTTGGGAGAAGCTCAGGACATCCTCAAAGCTACTTCATTATCCTCCTTTCTTTCCTTTTAAAAATCTCTTCTTTGCTGGGAGACCAACCAAAAATGTGGTGACATTTATGTCTCTCACAGGATTTTACCTCCAGCAGTCATACTGACCAATACTGGCTGAGTAGCATTTCTTTGTGCCATTTCTTTGTGTTTGAGCTCATTCTCTAAATTTGTGAGAGTACCAATGTCTTACATGAGCCTATCACATAAAATTGTTGATAAAAGAATAAAAGCCTAAAGGGAGAGATACTGAATTAATTACACCAGAAAAGTCTATTACTTGGGGCTGATTTAAACAACATTTTAAACTCGTGTGTGGTAAACAACATGGGAATGGGATCGGGACTAGGATGGACCAAAACGGTGCATCACAAATTAGGCCTAACTGGTAGGCAAAATAAGGAGGGGAGGGCTCTGTTACCCATTAGCAGCATTTGGGGAGCCTTAAAAATAAAACTTTCTGGAAAGCAAACAAAGCCTCAGGCCGTAGCCAGATAGTTTGGAAGGAATGAGCTCTATCATCATGCCTGTTGCTATCAGCATGTTCAAGGACCATAAGTTCCCTCAGACCTTTTTAGGTGTTGCCCTGATCAAGAAAGAGGGCCTGACTATACGTAAAACACCAGAGAAACCACCAATGTCACCAGCTCCAGCAAAATCTGGACTCTGGTGCTTGGTCTCTGGTCACTCTGTTGCCCACCACCACATGTTCTTTCCCT